CAGATAGATAGATAGATAGATAGATAGATAGATTGTCTCAGATTTGTTATATTTATAAGTGCAGGTAGGATAACGGTTATCAGCGCAGGAAGTAAAGAGTTCAAATTCTAGTCGTTTCATTCACTTCGAATCAACCTTCCACCAACTATGGGTTATATATATATATATATATATATATATATATATATATATATATATATATATATATATATATATATTATTTAAAAAAAACGGACCACTTTACGGCTTCATTGTAATAATTTATTTCACCAGGGACTTTTATTTTTCCTTGGATCTTCAGACATCACTTTCAAAAGGTGAAACGAAAATGAAATTAAAATTGACACTTATATATATAGATAGATAGATAGATAGATAGATAGATAGATAGATATATATATATATATATATATATATATATATATATATATATATATAGTTAACTACACTCGTCTCGGAAAACCTTCGATTTGATTTGCTAATGATTAAATCAATCTCGAAGGAAAAAAAGGTTTTAAAAAAAGAACGAGCTGTGAACATGACCGTCTGTCGAAAATAATCGCACAGGTCCAAAGCCCAAAGGAAAAAAAAACCGATACGAGTAATCAACTAACTTAAAAGTGCTCAATACAAAAGTAGAGCCCACCAAATCCGGATTCAATCTTGAAATTGAAACCAACCTTACAGTCACTAACTACCTAGACATCACTTCAGATTTAAGAAATGGTACTGTTTCCCCTTATAAGGAAGATAACCAGGACCCCCAATATTTAAATGTAAAATCTAACCACCCAGCGCATATCATAAGACATATTTCAAAAAGTATCAGCCATAGACTTTCAACCAACTCATCGAATAAAGACATCTTTGATGCTAATAAATCAATTTATGAGCAAGCTCTAGTTAAAAGTGGCCACAAAGATAAGTTAGAATATATTGACATAAATAATAACACTGAAACCCAAAATAGACATAAGAATAGAAATAGAAATATTTTGTGGTTTAACCTTCCGTTTATTTGTAAGAACTAAAATTGGCAAAATATTTTTCAATCTATTGGAACAAAATTTCCCCAAGAAAACTAAGTTACACAAAATATTTAATAAAAATAACGTCCAACTTAGTTATTGCTGTATGCCAAACGTAGCGATTTAATTAGCGGTTTTAATAAGAAAAAGACTAGGGAAAATCTACGCGCCACTACTTCTAGTTGTAATTGTAGGAACAAAAAAATCTGTCCCCTACAGGCAAAATGTCAACAGGAGTGCGTGGTTTACCAGGCTAAAATTTACAAAGACATAGAGGACTGCAATAACGATATTGTAGTGTATATAGGAGCTACTCAGGACGTATTTTAAAAAAAGATATTATAATCATACGAGTAGTTTTAACAATGAAAAAAACAAACATAGTGCTACTTTATCTAGCTATGTATGGAAAATTAAACAGGAAAATAACAAAGACCCAATTCTCAAATGGGAAATATTAAAAAGATGTTCTAAATATAAAGCAGGTCAAAATTTTGCAAGCTATGTACAGAGGAAAAATTAGCCATAGATTTATATAAGGAACCTAAAGATTTATTAAATTCTAAAACAGAGATTTTAAACAAATGCAGACATAGAAGATCTTGGTTATTGGATTAGACCCCATCTCCCCTGATTATATAGTTGTTTAACTGTTTTTGCCCGTGTTTTGTCTCTAAATCACCCCCTCCTTTTTAAGCCGTTTCGAATAAATTTCTCGTCAACCTTCCCAATTGTTGTGTTTTTTTTTTTTTTTAATGTTTGGTCACGTGGTCTTGGTCTTTTGTTTATCGCCTATAAGTATACAGTTTTCTTTACCTCTTTAGCCAGCTTTCCCTGACGATCCGCTTAGGTGAAACCTTGGTAGGTTTGTCTGGCTCTCTAGGTTTGACTATATATATATAGTCGATATTAAATTTGTCAAATTTTCTCAATTACACAGCGGCCCTTTCAGTAAATGTCCTTCAATTTTACTTTCCTTCGCCCCATCTCTCTCCCCCAACTCTTCTTTCCTTTCCTCTCCCTCCCTCTTATTCTGATCTTTAACATTAGATCGTCTATGGTGTGTGTATGTCACCACGAAATGTATCTTTATATATTAGACATCCGACAACATTCATATTTCTCTTACTTAAACCCCTTCCACTCACCTCTCCTAAAATTCTCTCTGTTAAGGTTTAATCTCCCTCCTTCTCTCGTCTGTTACCCCCCCAAATTAGCTCTAACATTCGTCCCACACTCGCATACTTACACTCTCTCTAAATTCTGATTTTATTTCCGGAGTTGTTTTTTTGTTTTTTTTTTGAATTTGTAGGTCTGATGAATTGGATCGTATTTACGATTCCAATGGAATAAATTATGACCATGGAATTTTAGTGTTTAAGCCTTTTTTATTATATCCTTACTCTGTCCTGGACATTGAGTTCTACCTGGATTCTATCCTCTTGTAATTTTTATTCAAAAAATATACATGTGTATGCACCTATGTATATATATTTATATATTTTGCATATGTATGTGTATATATACCACTAATATTATCTATCTATCTATCTATCTATATATATATATATATATATATATATATATATATATATATATATATATAATGAATATTGCGTTCAAGCATGAATCAGACTGTCGCTGTTTATATTTACATACGCTCTGTTTTTTTTAATGAGCACTTTTACCATAAATATAGCATATCTTGAAACTATACTTTCATCATCTTATTTTATATATAGTACAAGAACTCATAAGTAAAATTCTGGTTGATAATGCGATTATCCTTCATAAATGCCGTAACTGAAAACTTCTCGCTCTGAGAGAAGCACTCTGTATAAAACAACTGACACCCAGTATTAATCTTACTTTATTTAACAACGGAAACGATGTGCTAAAAGCTGTTTTTTTGTTTGTTTTTTAATAGAACACCAACTTTAATTCCAGACATATTCCTTTCGAGGGGCTCGGAATAAACGCTACTATCATACAATATGCATCACACGGCTACATTTTAAAAGATAACTGAAAAAAAGAAATTAACAACAAACCCCTTGACAATGGCTAAAGAAGTGGCCGAAAACGCTTGAGACAATGAACACTTCGGGGCAATTTTTACTCACCCTTACCCTTACCAAACAGAAAAACTTAAGAAAACTAGAAAAACTCAATAAAATTCTTCAAATTTTCCTCGTCTGATATATTCACAAAAAGCATGTTTGAAAGAAAGGTTTCTGCCCATATATATATATATATATATATATATATATATATATATAAAATATAAAATGAAATGGATTAAGTGCGAGAATTATTTAATACATTTTTTGTTTACACGTTATTTTAATAGATATAAATTATTTAAGTAAATCCTCTGTTTTTTAATAACACAATATTAATTACATTTATCGACCTGAATGTTCGAGAAATTTCGTAGAAAATATGCGTTCTCCGACAAAAATCGAACCTGTATTCCTATACGGGAACTGTCATTTGATCTGACGTGCTAGACCATTTAGCTACAGAGACGTGTATGGTTAGTAAACTCAAAATTACTGTTTTTAAACGCACAATCTTTGACGATTTTTCTCGATCGATCATATCTGCTCACGAAACGTATCTTAACGTAAACAGTGACAACATATAACGAAATTGATTGATTCGGGCACCTTGAACAATTACGACTGAGTAGTGAGTTCGATCCACATTGGGAGATTCATACTTACGGCTTTGTGTCACATCTGAGCTACGCTTGGAAAATCGCTATAACAAAATTGATTAAAAACAGACCATTTACTTAAATAAAATGTATATATAAAAATAACATATACACAGAAAATATATTACATACATATGTGTGTGCCTATATATATATATATATATATATATATATATATATATATAAAAGGAAAAAAGATGATAGGATAACTGTAGTTTTAGCCGGCGCGTTTCGTGCATGTGGACTTTTTCAAGGCAAAAACCGAAATTAATTCCTTGAAATAAAGTATCTGTAAACAACAAACAAAATGTCTTTAGTAACTAGAAGAATTTAGAAACGCTATTGTATATTCATATGGTCAACTGGAATATTACGTCAATTACTTTATGTTTGAATAGAATATTTTCACATGTAGAAATATTGTTTGTATTGTTGTGTTGACGGATTCAACCGTTTTCTTTTTATATATTTGTTCCGTGCGTTGGCTTTGGAGAGTAGTGATTCTGTTAGGAAAGGCGATAATAGGAAAAAACCTGGGCGTAGATTAATATTGGATAATATTCAATGGCAGCACTCTCGAGGTTTTCGTATTGTCTTTTTTCCGTTATACATATTTTTCTACAGCTTATTTCTGAGAAATCCATATATATATATATATATATATATATATATATATATATATATATGTATGTGTTATTCAGAATACAAGCAGTAAGTACTTAGTTTTATTATAAACAATTTGAAATTTGATGGTTAAGTTCAGACTACAATCGTTCTGTGTGGAGTGAATAACGCTCTTCTCACTAAGCTGACAAAACATCATTCCCTCCATGTCGTACGATTGTAGTCTGAGTCTGTCATTGTTGTGTTCAGTTAATTCATCATAAGCATTTCTATGTACTTGACCATACTTATAATATATACCATTTGATATAAAAGATTTGAGTATGACGAGTTGGCCTGAATTTATTTGCACGATGAAAACGTCTAAACGATGCACTCAAACATAGTGACTTATATACATTAAAATTAATCTAAAAATGTCTCTGCTTAGTTCAAGATTAAAGATCATTTCCTTTCTTTAATTCACCGATATTATAATGTTTCTTTTTCTTTAATGTTTTTCATTAAAGTATTCAAGATTTTCAGTGTTATATATATATATATATATATATATATATATATATATATATATTATATATATATTATTTATAGATTTAACATTGTCATATATTGTTCTGCTTTTGTTGCCCATGTCTACTTGGTCACTTTCTCTCTCTCTTTTTCACACACACAAACACACAAAAATCTCTGTCTGTCTGTCTGTCTCTCTCTCTCTGTCTCTCTCTCTCGCTCGCTCTCTCTCTCTCTCTCTCTCTCTCTCTCTCTCTCTCTCTCTCTCTCTCTCTCTCCTTTCAGAGTGATAATTATTGTTCTTTATTAGATTTCTCTTGTTTTGGGTAGTGATACTCTTTTTCCATTCTTCTTCTTCTTCTTCTTCTACTACTACTACTACTACTACTACTATTCTTCTGGCTCTTTTTCCACTATTCACATACCCCTTCTTCTTTCTCTTCCTCACTCCTCCTTCTTCTTCTTCATCCACTATCCATCTCATTCGTCGTCGTCTTCTTTTTCCACTATTCTTCTTCTTATTATTATTATTATTATTCCACTTTTTATCTTCTTCTTCCTTTTCTTTCACTTCTTCTTCTTCAGTTTTTCTTCTCTTATTCTTGTATTTTTTCCAATCTTCATTTTTTCTTCTTCTTCTAATATTCTCCTTCCACTCTGCTTTCTCCTTTCCTTTTCTTCTTCTTCTTCTTCTTCTTCTTCTTCTTCTGTGTAGTATTATTCGCCATCTTTTCTTTTCTTCCCTTTACTTTTTATCTTCTTCTTCCACTCTTTTTTCTCCTTTCTTTTTCTTTTAATTTTCTTCTTTTATTCTTCGAATTCGTCCCCCCACCTTCTCTTTCTTTCTTTCTTTCTTTCTTTCTTTCTTTCTTTCTTTCTTTCTTCTTCTTCTTCTTCTTCTTTCTCTTCAACCAGTTTTCTTCTACTTCTTCCATCAAGTCCTTCACCTTCAGGTACATTTTTTACAATTCCGACATTGTCATAATTTTTAATTAAAAGATTCAATCAAATTATCATAACAAAATGACGTCTTCCAATGAAAAAATTCAATCAACCTGACAGTTTGATATTATAAGCAGCTTACAATTTTTTTCTTTTTAGTCTGAAGTTATTTGCCATCTCCCACTCTGACAATCACTACAAACAAGTCCTACTTCACCCCTCATTTCTCTATGTCTTCAGTGACCATTGCACAATTAAAGTTTACCGTTTGCCATTTCCTTCTTTCTTTCTCGTTATATTTTAATTGTTTTCCATTCGAACTTCTCCGGGCGACCTTTTTCCCAAAAATCGCTATTCTGATGTTTGATTATTAAAATGCTGGTTTTGGAAACTGAGTCAGATTTTTTTTTAAATTCTGTAACGTCTCATATATACCTATTTATGCAGTTTCCCATCTTTCGGTCTATCTTATATATATATATATATTCTTATACTATCCGAAAGTATAAGAAATAATATATATATATATATATATATATATATATATATATATATATATATATATATATGTGTGTGTGTGTGTGTGTGTGTGTGTGTGTGTGTGTGTGTGTGTATATATATATATATATATATATATATATATATATATATATATAGAGAGAGAGAGAGAGAGAGAGAGATGCAAACAGAATATAAATAGTTTATATCTATTTCAGCTTGTTCATATCTATATATCACTGTTCATATCTATCTATCTATCTATATATATATATATATATATATATATATATATATATATATATAAATATATCAGTATGTTCATATTGATCTATCAATTTATCTATTAATCTATCTCAGTTTTTCATATCTATTTATCTCAGTCTGTTCATATCTATCTATCTATCTATCTATCTAAGTCTGCTCATATCTATCAGTTTATCTCAGTCTGCTCATATCTATCTACCTATCTATATTTCTATCTATCCATCTAAGTCTGCTCGTATCTATCTGTTTATCTCAGCCGGTTCAAATCTATCTATCTATCTCATCTCAGTCCCTTTATATCTATTTATCTAAGTCTCTTCATACATATCTATCTATCTATCTATCTATCTATCTATCTATCTGTCTGTCTGTCTGTCTATCAGTCTATTTTATCTATCTATCTATCTATCTATTTAAGTCTATTCATATTCTTCATTTGTCTTTTTCTTCTTCTTCCTTCTTCTTCTTCTATCTATCTCTCTATCTATCTATATTTTTGTATGTTTGTGTAATTCCTTAACTCTATTTTGACATTAATTCAATACTTTATTGGTTTTCGTTGCCAACGCGTAAGCAGGACTTTTCTAGACTGTGGCAGAAAGAGAATCATTTTGAGAATTTAGATTTCCTCAAAATACCTCAGTCCTTCGAGAAGAAAAATCTCCTTTAATCCCTGAGAACTTTCGTCTTGCCAAACGTCACACCTTTTGTATGATGCGCTTTAAGTTGATTAGAATTCAATTTGAATATAAATCTCGATTCCACGAATTGTAATTTCCGATCTGATTCAAGCGGCGCATATGATTTTTTTTTTTTTGTTTCCATTGTGGCTCTCTCCTGAGTCAGCAAGGAAGGAAAGTGTTTTAAAATGCATAAATCAAAAGTCATAAAATCCAACCAGAGTTTAAACTCCTTAAAAACGAAGCTTCATTTGAATATTCTCTTTCTACGCTTTGTCAGTTGTCTTTTTTAATTATTTAGTTTGTCATTTTTTTAACACGCGCGCAAGCCTTCAACTACAGGGCGTCTTTCTTCAAAAGCACTGTTCTGCGTCACTTTGTTTTCTTAGTACCTGGTCGATATTATACAGGCGAAAAGAAGGAGCAGAGGTTTCACCAATAGGGGAAAGTGTGTCGATTCGGTTATCGTAAGATTTCTTGATTTCTGGCAACGGAATATTTGACAACAGAAAAATGTTGAATCTCAAATCCTTTAAAAAAAATACTAGAAAAAACGGGAATAAATTTCATGATTGCGCAGAGGACAATTGAAAAGAGAAACTAAATTCCTACTTATATTATATACAAGCGGACTATGTTCATCTTTCTTATTATTATCACAGCGCTTCGCACGCTATGCCCACCGGCCTTCTTCAAGTGTCTGTTAATCCTATAATCCTTTATGGAATTTCGTATTGAACACTTTATTTAATCTACATAGATTGTTCTAGTTCCGCTGCCAGTGGTCAGGGATATGTTGTTTTGTTAACTTTAGGACTGGTCAGTCATTACACACACTGCGTTCAGTGAATATAAACCTGTACTATCCAGTTCATGGATTAAACTCACAATTACTATAAACCATAATGCACTAGGCTATTGACCCGGATCGAGATACACCTGAAGAAGGTCAGAATACATAACGGCCAAAACGTTATGATAATGCCAACAAAGATATTGAGATGTTTTTATCACTATTTACATTACTTGGACTATTGTCCACATCTTTGTTGCCATATTTATCACAACGTTTCGACCGTTGTACACTCCGACCATCTTCAGGTTGTTGGAATGTCGAACTGAACCCTTTATTTCGCACGCTGGGGTAGACTGTCAGTTATCAGTTATCTCTTGTTAATTCATCTCTACAAGTTTTCCACTGCCTTAACCAGGTATTGAACTCACAACACTTTGGATCCTGTCACTGCATCTAACCAATGCCATGTGTCTTTGAGAACATCTGTGCATGAATTTCTGGGATTTATAAACTTAATGTCTTCAACAACCATTTTTACCAGTGCTCATATTGCAAATTTTGCTGTTATCAATGCATGTTTTTTTTAGCAGGGTTCATATTGCAATTTTCGTTTTTATTATTGCGTTTCTCTGGCACTCCTTATTACTGGTTCCCATATTGTATTCATTTCTATGCTCGGTAGTTAGATCCAGTGATAGGACCCAAAGAGTTGTGAGTTCAATACCTGGTTATGGCCGTGGAGAACTTGGAGAGGTGAATTAACAGGAGATTACCGATAACTGACAACCATTAAACATGGCATGTGGAACTAGAACAGTCTACCCCAGTGAGCGAAATAAAGGGTTCTGTTCAACATTCCAACCACCTAAAGAAGGCCGAAGCGTATAACAGCTGAAACGTTGTGATAAATATGTCGACAAAGATGAGGACAATAGTCCGAATAATGTAAATAGTGTACATAATACCTCACCTCAGAAATATAGACAAATATTTTTTATCATTCACCCCAAGCAAGGCAATAAAGCTACTAAGATGCAAGGAGTTACTGAGTGTTAAACAATCTGAGAAAAATAACTCTATTAAGGAGCAGTACAATAAAAGAACAGGAATTAAGAAGACAGAAGATAACAATTGATGTTATATTTACATTTTGGAAGATCAAAGTTGACTAGAAAAAACAGAAGCCGAAAGAGAGTTCCCCAAGCGAGAAATGCCAGAGAAGAAACTGTTAGCATAGAACTTACGGTTACATCTAACCATTACAATTGATGAGACCTTACCGCCAATCAAGTACTGCGTTTAAATTCATAAAATCTCCGTATTATAGGGGAAAGATCATCAAAACAATACAAGAATAAGAGTAAAGAAGACGAAAGATAACGATTGCTATTGCATTACAATTCTTAAAGAATGTAGTTGAATGGGAAGCAAGAAGCCAGAAGAGGGTTCCACAAGCAAGAAGTGCGATAAAAGAAACTGTTAACATAGAACTTATGATTACATCTAGCCATTTGAACTTTAAAATGATGAGACTTTGCCGCTGATCAGGTACTACGCTTAAATTCATAAAGTTTAGGTACCACAGAGGAAAGTTCCTCAGAACAATTAATATGAAAGTATTTATAGAAAAAGCAAAGCTACGTTACGGCGATGGGAAAGTGACTGAAGCCGTGATGCCAGGTAAGGACCAGTAACATTGCAGATTCTTTTAATGCAAATTGTCCTAATGTAAATAATGATACTCCCTCATCACAGAAATTCAGATAGAAAACAAATCCCTGTTAAAAACCGTTCATAACTCATGTACATTCTATCTGCGCCGGAGCTAGTCATTCCTGACTTTCCAATTCTGACGGAGTTCAAAAGTGTTTACACGACCTTGTGGGTGATAGATTATTTTACAGTCTACAGTCCTTCCTACACAGACGAAACATTGATCGCCACTCACTACTCTATAGTTATTATCATGACAGCTATTCAGACGAGCTATATTCATTTGTTCTACCAGTCCAGACCGTCACAGCTAAGATTCGCCATGACACATACACAGACTTGTCTGATCCTCATTTGCCTTCGAATTCCATTGGCAAGGAGGAAGTTCTAATCAGACAGTTTCTTCCCAAGAGATACTACTTTGTGGAACAAACTCCCGAGAGGATGCTTTCCCGGTCATTACAACCGTAAGCTCTTCAGAGTCAACCGTTTTCTATCCTAGACGTTTTGTCTCGTTTAATGCAGATCCCAATTTGTCCTTTGCCAGTGTAGATTTTGTTGAAATAAATGTTTCTGATTAAGCGAATTCATTGACGAAACATGAAAGTAGAAGTTTTCAGATGGATAGATAGATAGATATGAACAGAATGAAATAGATAGATAGATAGATAGATAGATAGATAGATAGATAGATAGATCTGACTAATCATAGATAGATAGATAGATAGATAGATAGATAGATAGATAGATAGATAGATATGAACAGAATGAAATAGATAGATATATATATATAGAGAGAGAGATAGATAGATAGATAGATAGATAGATATAAACAGAATGAAATAGATAGATAGATAGATAGATAGATAGATAGATAGATAGATCTGACTAATCATAGATAGATAGATAGATAGATATGAACAGAACGAAATAGATATATATATATATATATATATAGATAGATAGATAGAATAGATATATCTGATAATCATCTGACTAATCAGAGATAGATAGATAGATAGATAGATAGATAGATACTAAAAACTCTATAGTGACATGTATGTATACATGTTAATTATAATATATTTACGTGCTTAAATATTTATGTATGTGAATAAAGTTTTTCTATAGTCATTTCTACAATTGGAATATTTTCATTTTGTTTTATTTTATTGATTTCTTCCGTCATTTTTTTTTTGTTCTGCTTAGTTCACATTAGTTTTGCTCTTTTCGCTCGAATGAATTCTGTCTCCACTTCAAAATCGAGATTTTCTAGAACCGTCTGTAGTTTCTGTTCACATTTTATTTTACTTGTCCATATTCTAATATCCATGCTGTTACCAATCATGTCTGCTTTCATATTCATTTTCTTTTCTCGTTTTTTTTTTTTTTTTTTTGTTTTTGTTTTTGTTGGTTTAATACTTTCACCTCCTGTCTTTTATTTTTGTTTTTTATCTCTTCTTTCTTACAATCAGCATTTGTCATTATCTAATGTCTTACTTATTCTTGTGCTAACTCTTTGTACTTTGGTTTTGTTTAGAGTTAGGAAGAAAATCTTGCTACGAATAAATATTTAATAACAATCATTATTAACGATTTGCTTTCTTTTTTAACTCACTTAGCAAAGGTGATGATATTTCGTCTACTGTCTTCCTGAAAATATCACGAATATACGTTTTTTTCTTCACCTTTACACACTGCTAACTCTCTTAAGGCCTTAGTTTTAGAATCTGTCATCACATATTATCTTTTCTATATGATATTCTTCGTTATAGTTCTTTTTCCTATTCACTAACGTTTCTCATTCCTTTATACAATTAACATCTGCTATTAAACACAGTTTCAGCCGCGCGTCTTGTTAAAGGGTCTAGTTTTATAACTACGTTTTATAACTACGTTTTATATATACTACAGTTCAAAAGTGTGAAGCCACCCTCAGAGTTAGCATGGGATTAATTTGACAGAAGAGTGAGAAAAAAAAATGAAAAGATCTCTTAGAGTCATTAAAAAAAAGAATGGAATCAATTATCAAACTTATACTTTGAGAAACTTTTGCAACAAATGACAAAAAATTGTGCTGTGATAATCAAGACTAAAGGAGGATATTGTGATAAGAACTAAATTTAGACACAAAAAGCTTTTTTTCTTTTTGTCATGATAAAACTTGTAATAAATATCATGCCTCACTTTTTTTTCAACCATGTATAATAATTTTCTCTTATTTAAATTACAAAGCAACAACTTTTTTGGACAATTTAAAAAATTAAGAGGGATTCCTTCAAATCTGTCTAAATTTTGAGATGAGGTATCATGTACACTATTT